CAGAGGTGCAATTTTAAGCGCTCAGATATGGAATTAACGGGAAGTTGTAGGGATGGCCTTTATGGTCAACCGTTTTCCAGATTTTTTCTGCATTAATTCAAAATACTTCTACAAAAAGCGCGAAAAAAAGGATAAACCATTTGAGATAACATTTTCTACTTTCTCAACTCATATTTACTAATGAATCCTTTGTTTGAGCTTCAAAAGAAACATATTCTTTGTACATTTATCCATATTTTAATGCACATTGTTCACCCGACTCACATTCGACTGCACTCTAACTAAAATGTGTATACTCCCCGTGACGGACTTTACACTACAATCATTTGCTTGATATTCAACAGGAAAATAATTCCAACCCTCTTTGTGCTCTTAGCGCACATGTGTTCTACTCCCTCAACTGACAAAAGGTTCTCGAAACGTTTGTAGAAATAAAAGTATCTTGTTACATTTTAAACCAACAACGGCGGCTTAAATTAAATCGTACCCTACTTTTTAAATCCGAAGCAGAATGGTATCAAAGCGCTCTAATCATACCACATTATTCGTCATCATTATCATCATCATCATTGCCTTTATTGTGATACGGTTTTCATTCCTAATTCATCTAATATACAATCTAAAGTTGGGGTTGTTGTACACGTGCTGTGAATTTTCCACCTGCTCATTCTCTTTTGTTATAAAAATATAAACTTCAAATCTTTCCAAAATTATTTAACTAATATACTACATGGAGAGTAATTTTCTTTTAAAAATTACCGTGAAAATTACAGTAAGTACAATTTTTTTAATAACTATTCACAAATACCAGGGAAAAAACACCATTCGGCTACACCCGCTATGGAAAAGTTGATTTCTCAATTTTAGCACATTAGTAATGGTTAAAATATTTAATACTACCTTTGAAACGTTTATAAAATTTATAAATTCTACAGGAATTATTATAATGAGCTTTAACCACACTGAAAAAAAAATTAAATTGAGTCAAGAGAAAAATTCTTGAATTAAATAAAATTTACTTAAACCAAGAAAAATTTCTTAAGAAACTAATTAGTTTAAGAATTTTTCTACTCAAATTCAGAAGATGAAATTCTTCGAAATTATTTACTTGATTCAAGTAAATTTTTTTTCTGTGCACTTTACGGAATTTTCATAAAATAAACTATGCAGTAGTTTCATTATTCGAGGATAATGACTTAAGAATAATAATTTATTATATTTTTGCTGATTTTAGAAACTGTAGAAAAAACTCAAAAAATGATTAAACAAGCAAGTATAACAAGGTGAATTAAAGCTAATTACATGGCGAACTTTAAAATTCAATTGCCAGAATTTAGTTATCAATTATAGTTTTGAAGTTGAATTTGAGAAAATCTCGTGAGTGAGTAGCATAAAAATAAAAAATTTGCTATTTTCTATCAATTTGTAATATTCTCACAAATTTGATGTATATACATTAGAAATTAACTTTCTTTGTTGCTGTAAGATGGACAGCGGTGATTTCGGTCGAACTCACTTCCCCCCCTTCCCGCGCTGTGGTAGTAGCCCTGGACGGGGTGGTCGTGGTGAGTAGCATAAAATAAAAAATTTGCTATTTTCTATCAATTTGTAATATTCTCACAAATTTGATGTATATACATTAGAAATTAACTTTTTTTTTTTTTTTTTTTTTTTATTTTCCTGAAAATGAAAAAAAAATTTTCAGACACACAATTTCGGAACTAACGGACTGATTTAGCCCATTTTCGAACTTGACCAATTTTTTCGTTCATATAATAAATGTATTGAGTTTTATCAAGATCTGTCAAGAATTCCGGCCGTAATCGTGTTGACAAGGCCGGTTCTATCATATACACGGGAAAAAATTTCTGGGAAAATTTACGACACAACTATTGTAAAGCTGGACTATACTTTTATTACTATTAATTATCAAATATTTTAGAAGACAAAATACTATTTATTCATGAAAAAATACGATATTACTATTGTAAAAAGTAAGAGATGAAAATTTCCAGTGCTGCCTCTGTATCTTTCCAATAGAACCATAGCAAATTTTACAATAGTTGAATTGGAATGTCTCTCAATTAGTGTGAGGGATGACCGTGCAAAGCGCTAGACTCTGAGTTTATATAAATGTTAAAGGATATGGGTCTTAGTTTACCTCGGATAGCGTAGAGGAAGAGTCTCTGGCTGCCAACACAGAGTTCTGGGTTCGATTCCCAGATAGCCCGAAAATGACGGTTTCTTTTTTCGATTACTGTACAGGTATCAATTAGCCCAACCTTCTATCTCTCATCCTCCCTAATATTTCTTTTAAAAAAACCAACTGTGAATTTTTACAATAGTTGAATTGTAAAGTTCACAAACATATATTGTATAATTGCCAGCTTAAATCTGACAACACATTCTTTACGGTATCTGAAATTTCGTCCAGTGAGACTTCTATACCCAGTAAACAAGCAATGGGTACTAGCTAAGCCCGGCCGCGGTAGGTTTGGGGTGCCTCAGGTGAGTCAGGTATGAAAATTAAGTAAATTTTTAAAGTATTTTACGGCGTCAGCCATTTTAATATATTATTTATTGAACTATTTTAAGCCAATATTAAAAATGGCTGACATTTTTTCCGGTTGTAACTATCCGGTTTACAGCGAAACATTACCTGCAGTCTATGCTTAGAAAACATGTGGTACAGTAAGAGTAGTAGTTTATGCTCTCTCTCTCTATCTCTTTAGTCAAACATTTTCTCCTTTTATGTTAGGGCTGAGTGGTGGGGATTTAGTTCCTTTTACGAACACAAAGGCACACCAGGCCCAACGGTTTACGGACAAATATATTTTAGTCAGTTGCATGTTAAAAGTATAGAGACATAATACTGTGAATAGTTTTCATTGCATTTATTGATTGTTAATTTATTTTCCATTACTTTTTCAATATGGCTGATAATTTAAAGTGTGTGATTTGTGCCTCGGAAAAAGACGAAAAAGTGCTTTTATTTTCTGAAGAAACTTTAAAAAGGTGTCAGCGTATTCTAGACTTACGAAAACATCATAACCTAAAATACAAAGATGTAATTTTACCTTCAGATCTTTATGACTGTGGATATCATCGCAGTTGTTATCGGGTTTTCACAGCTTTAAAGACGAAGTTTTATGAAAAGAAAGATACAAAAATAAAAGATGTTGCGCCTTCAACATCTCAATCTAATACGTTATCAACGGAATCACTATCTGCTCAGCAGCCGTCAACGTCAACAGACAATTCTATGATTGCTGAAACTGTGACTCAAAATGTTGATTTATCTATAGATTCCTCTGTACTAGACGAAGTTGTAATAGAGGGTAATGATTCTCAACTGGATACATCGTTGGAAGCAGGCTTCGTTAAAGATTCTGATTTATTAAATTCACC